GAATGCTCGAATAATTTCAATTTATAACTGCCAAAAGGGGCAAATGTCTCGGGTACAAACGTCTCGATTTAATTCCGGTTCAAAGTACTTGATACTTTCAGAAAGGGTGCTTCCGAATTATGAACGGAAACAAAGAGATTTAAAGTTGGAAGTAACGGGCTGCGATCGATTGGGCATGAAACGAAGCAAAGTTTGCAGATCCAAGAGTGTTGGTGGATCTGAATGTGTGTACACTGGAAATAATGTTGACCGTACGGGTTCCAGGAAAAGTCGTGGAGCGCAGAATTTCATTGGCGAGTCGTCATCTTTTCTGGTTTCGCTTTTAGTTTAACTTTCTAACAAAATATTTAAATTTAAAAAAATCAGTATGATTATATTTCTGTCAAATAATAATCTAGAAACAATTCCGCAGTATGGCTTAAATAAATCTTGATAAAAAATTTGGAACATTATAAAATAAATATAAGTAGCATTAAAAATAGAGAAATTCTAAAAATTAAAAATTGCGATAAAAGAAACCTAAAGATGTTTAAAAAAATTATGTTATTTATTTATCAAAATATCTTATTAATGCCGCAAAAAAGAGAAAAAAAGAGAGAAAGAGAGAGAATATACTAACTAGTTATCAAATGCTTTTTAATTATTACTAAAATTAATTTATATTTTCAGAATAATGAAGAGATTTTTTCAGTAAATTTTGATATTTAACATGATATTTGTATAATAACCTAATTTTAATATATAGCTTAAGAATTTTGCAAAAAGAAATATATTTCATGCAATATTAAAAAATGTAAAGTGATTAAAACACATTCCTTAGATTTAATAAATTTTGAAAGTGAAAGATATGTAAGTGCTTCTAATTTTTTCCGTTGTTCTTACAGTTTTAAGAGATCTTTAATTTTCTTTCGACAAACATTTTTTAAATATAAAAATTAAAAGGATATCGAGTTTAAAATGATCTACGTGTACGTGTAATTAATATTATTACATTTAAATTTGACTATATTCTGATAATTTATTCTTGCAATTTAAGAGTGTTTCTTATAGATAATATTCATAATAATCTCCAATATTCATAATAATCCTCAATATTCATAATAATTTTTCAAAATATCAAATCTTTAATAATCCCGACAGGACCGCGAGCATAATCCGCAGAGTCGGAGCGCAAAGCGTCAACATTAAAAATGCAGTACGTCAGAGCGACGGTTTATGCTCCCTTCCGGAAGTCCTAACGATCGCTAAGAATTACAAATCCGCCATGGTAAGCCGCTCGGTAATCTTCCGACGTCATTTAACGCCATATTTCGCATAATACATATATATACGTCTGTACGCGCGAATGGGAAGAGGAAGGCGGCATTTCATCGTGGCAGGCGCGCGGCGTACGGCGCCAACACAGACGGATAATATCGCGGGCGGGAACGAATTTTCGTGGAAAGAGGAAAGCGCGTCGATTACGTCGGGAGAGGGGGAGGGGGAGGGTGAGCGCGTTAGAGGTTTCGGGGTTGTCAGCGAGCGGATGATTGCGCGCCTGCGGCGTCACGGGGCTTCGCGATGCGCCGAGTACTACGTACATAATATATAACGCGCCTACCACCCCCGAGTGGTCATCTACATTTTATGGGCTCTTCACAACGTTTCGCCGTCAAAAATCACAATACCAGTCAAGTTCGGGTAGAGCTAAATTTTTTCTTATTATATTTATCACGCGGATATATGTGTTAGGCGAGCGTATATCAGCATTCCCGTGGAATATCAGGTATTTACGTTATACATTGTCATCCTAAACATATTTTTATGATGTCATTGCATGCCATGTATCGTACATTGTACAGCTTCTTGTTAAAGAATTTGATTCTACTCGAGATAAAGCCAATTCTCTTTGCATTGTTATTTATCGCTCAAGAATACTAGCTATTTGATCCTTATTTCAGGTTCATATTGAATTATGCGAATTACATGTTGAGTAAATTATTCAGATTTTGAGGATTCCAAAGTGTACGGTGAGAATTTTGAATTCAAAATTTACTAAGTTTTAAAAGAATGTAATATATTTATGATTGAGAATAGAAAATGAGCTTTATTTTCTTATCATCTCAAATCTTGATAAATTTAAGTAAAAACAACGTATATCATCAAGTTGTTAAGTTTATATTGTTAAATTTATCCCGGGTACGTGATATTATCCTAAAATAACGGATCAGTGATGACGAGCCGTCTGATGTCAGATATCAGTTGAAGGAGTCAGTATAATAGTCTTAAAGTGATCAGCCGCGCAGTTAAGAGTTTACCAATAATTATTTAAATAAAATATATCGTTTGATTAACATATATATTATATTACTTATTTCTCTATATATTATATTACATATACTACATATTTGAATCTACAAATTGCAATATAATTGTTTCAATAAATCTTATGATTTGTACATTTAAAAAAAATATTTATCATAAAAGTGAATATATTACAATTATTATCAAAATAATTCAGATAGTTCTTGTCTAATAATTTTAGTCTTATTTAAGAGTGAAGATGATATACATCTTACTTTATATATAATGCTCTTTTTGGTAAATATATATATATATATATATATATATATTTTACATTTAATTATTATTATCATCTTCGGTTTATATATATTGCATGGACGGAAAGAAGAAAACTCGTGAAAGTTACTTACGAAAGGAAAAATGCTTCGACGCCATTCTGACGTCGACTATACGTCGGCAATTAATCACGGCGTCTAATTAACACCGCCAACAAAGTACAAGTAATTTCAAGACAGAGAGACGGAGAACGACGTGGGAGAACGTTAACGTGTACAAGTGTCTTCGTAAAGGTAGCGGGAGAAAACGAAGGTGAGAGAGAGAGAGAGAGGAGGGGGCAGGGAAGTGGAAGCATCGGTGTTTCAAGCCCCTGTGTGAAGTCTCCTTAACGTTAGGAAGCTCTGCCACTAATTGAATCTCCTCTCTTACTCGCGTCTGGAGCCCCGACAACCGCTGGGAACCAGAGCACCCGTCCTGCATTAAACACCCCCGACACCCTGAGCGCCCTCATCCCTGCCGAGCGGTCTCGTATCGCCCCCTTCCCCTCTTTCCCTCCCTGCTGAAAGTCCCTTCCCATCCGCCTTTTCTCTTTCCACCTCGCCGCTACCTCTCTCCACCTCTGCACAGGATCCAACCCCCGCTAAGCGTCCCAGAAAACGAGCCTCCGTCGCTGTTATATCGCCGTCGATGGCAAGGAACATCGACCCGTGTATAGCTAGCCCATCCCGTGTAACTCTGATGCGGAGAAGATCAAGCTCGCTCACTTCTAAATATCACTACTTAAACCGAGAAGTAAGGATTTATAAACGCGAAAGAGTCTACTAACGAAGAATAAAGATACGATATAAGAAGATACCATAACTCACAGAGTTCTCGTGCTTTTGTTTGATTACAAATAATATATATCAATAGATAGCTGTCAAAGAAATTAAATTAATTTTGTTCAAAGCCATCAAAGTTGATGATTATTATTTACGTGCTAAAATGATTAAAAAATTTTTTTTAATATTACTATTTGTTTAAATATTACTCTTAGAAGAAGAAATAGCGATTCGCAATCGTTGTCTTCTTATCTTATTTATTTAGTTACAAATTATTTTAAAGAGACTAAAAAGAACCGAAAAGAAGTCACAAAAATTTTAAACGCCTGTTAAACGTCATCATTATCTATGTCGTCCAGATTTATGCATTTGAAATTCATTTAATTTATCTCTTCTTTCAAAATTAATAGTCATTATTGTTGTCTAAAAATTGATGTCAAATAATATATAAGTTACTTGTATATATTTTATTTTTTACATGTTTTACATGGTTTGTATTTTTCCGTGATTCTATTCGAGTATCTACGAAGAAGAATGTAGAATATATTCAAGAATCTATAAAGTAAATAGATACTTATATAAATTTAAAGTGCTAACTAACAAACAACAAATTTGTAAATTATTTTGTATTTAAACTTTAGACTTTTGATATAATTTTTTAGATTAATTCAACGATTTAATTTAAAATTTTATTTTATACTTGAATATGTATAATATTTTATACTTGAATATGAATGTGTATAAATATAAATTAATGTCAATAATATTTAATCGAATATTTCAGGAAATATGACATCAACTAAATGACATATCACCAAAAATTGAAACGTCGCATGACGATGCGTATCCATTTGTATGACATCTTCAACAGCAGGAAGAATTTCCCGTAATATTGTGTAATAGAGACGAAATAATATTCAACTGATTGAAATGAGCATTTAACTAATTGAAATGATACATCGCCATCTAAAGTCTTTGCTAAAAATAATTCTATCGTTTAGAATTGTAGTGTGTTAGAATTTACACTGATATAAAGTGGTTCGAGCGTAGTTAATGCTTTGATAGTCCTTTACGGAGAAGTTTATTTAGGAGGGTTTGGTTGACACTAATAGTTACAGTTGATTTCTTCGTGGTTTATTTGCGGCTTTTCGCTATTTGAAAACGATTTTTTAGTCGTTGAACCGATAAGTATAAATATCCTTTTGTTATTATACGTTTCATAAATTAAGTTTTGATTTATCAAAAATTAAGTTACTCGTTTAAAAAATTTTTTTATTTATTTATAGAAAATACTATAAATACTAGAAGATATATTAGAAAAAAAGATATCAAATATTAGAATATAAAATATCAGGAATTTTTTAAAATATGTAGCCTTGATAAAAGCTATTACTTTTGACAAAGTTTAATGGTTTAGCAAATATGTAATTTATGAAATAACTCGTGAATAATATAAAGAACTTTTTTACATTATTATTAAGAGTAGAAAATGACGAGAATAGAGTCATCTTGCTTTTGTGTATCTCTGGATCGATTAATTAATTTTATTTATGCGCGTAAATAGAACATAGATTACATATGTATATATGACATAAAAAATGTTAATTTGTGGGTACTTACCGTCCTTATTCATGTTAGCTTCGAAACACTTAGCAAGACGACATGCACGGCATTGATTCCTATGGGTTTTGTCGATCGGACAACGTCCTTTCTTGGCGCCTTGGGCCTTACAGATGTATTCTCGATTGCTATGTATGCTTCGCTTGAAGAACCCCGAACAACCTGGAAATATAAAAACACGGCGTAAATTCTAATTTCAAAAATTTGCTATTGTTTAGAAATAAAATTGATATATTTTCTGTTAAAATTATTACTATAAAAAAAGAAATTAAATTCAGAGAAATATTGTTTTTCTAATTTCTGAATTTCAAATTTATACATTATTTTGATCCATTTAACGATATAATGATAATTTTTCTGTTAAAATAAGAAAATTTAGAGTTTTTTATTCTATAAAAATATTATTAATTAATATTACCGTCACAACTGTAGATGCCGTAGTGTTTTCCGGAACTACGGTCACCGCATACATCACACAGTATGTCAAGCAATCTGTCTCCTAAAATAAAAGAAAGAATATCGTTGTATCATTAATAATTAATAATATAATTACATACCATACAATTCAAACTTTTAGCAATCACATTTCTGAAAATAATCAAAAATACGAAGAATGTTTGATATATGATCTTCTTACATATTTCCCAATTCTCGAAAAAATAACAAATAATCATATTTAATAAAAACATTTTTTATAAAATAATCAAAATCATTAATGAGATATTATTTACACATGATTGTATTTCATGAAACAGTAAGGCGCGTCTAGAAGATCATACCTAATATAAACACAAGATACAAACTGTTTAAGATCTACGTGACATTATGACAAAATAATCACATTAGAAAGATTAATTGTTATATCTATACATTTACATAAATTGCGATGAAATAATTACCAGGTTAAAGGAAATCAACGTTAAAGAACTTTCGCGAAATCTCGTTTAAGAAAAGTGGACGGGCCGCAAGAAGATCACCGGTGCTAATCTGTTTCCCCTTTTCGTAGGAACCCTAATCGTCCTAATGATCCGCGGCAAGAAAAACACGGCCATGCCTAAGCCAACCAAAGCCTTCCTTCCCCAGCCTGGGGAATCAACCGCCTTCGCGTCTCATACCCAGCCGACCTAACCCGATCAACCTAGGTTACTTCAACCCCAACGGATTACTGCCTCCGTCGTGTACGCTAGTGCGTCTTCATCTTCTTCTTCTATTGTATCGCTTATGATGTTGTCTCATTCATTGTCCGTTGTTTATGACGTGCGTGAATTAAGCTCGAAACAGCCAAGAACTTGATTTCACTAATCGTTGATTAACTATCATTCCAACTTCTCTGATTCTTCTTTCGATCTTCTTTTGAGGAAAAAAAATACCTTTTTTTCTCCCATCGTGTAATTTAATATGTGATAATGTAATTTAATTATTATTTTTCAGAGTAATTATATAAATTGAATTTATCCTTCTATTTTGCAAATAATCTAAATCAAGAACAAAGTTTTATTTCTTTAAAAATTTTGATAAATCTGGAAGCATTGAAAAAATAAATAGAGATTTGAATTTCCCAAAAATATCATACATTTCAATTGCAACTTTATAAGATGATTTGCTGCCATTTTGACGGAAACTTGAAAAAAACATTATATTTTGTTTTGAAAATATATGGCAATTTTTTATTATAATATCACGCATAAAGTTTTAGAGACGATAAAATTATATAGGTAATAAAATATTATTTTATAATTAATTTCTAAACAATGTGTAATCTGAAAAACATTGTAAAATATTTCAGAGACATTTTGCTTCTTCATGCTTTCTAATTATCTGGAAAAGAATATATAAGATACAATCGAACATACAAGATAATATGATTACCTTGGAGATTCGTTTGGAGATGCATTTTATCTCGTTTATTTGCGAAATCACGTACTAATTGTTCATCAACAGAAAACAATGCACATTTATATATTGTCATCTACCAACACGATAAATGCTCGAGAGACTTAATATTTTTTTTAAATACATTTATTTAAATATTAAATATTATATTCTTTAAATTAAATTAATCGTGATGTTTACATTTTTCAAGTTGCAACAATCGCAATTTATTTACTTGCTTATAAATTGTTGCAACTTGTAAAACTATCCGCATCACGATTAATTTAAAAACTATAATGTACGAGAGGTTTAAGCACTCACTATTAATCATCTCTCGTTCGCGTTACACAATTTGTCAAATCCTGAGAATTTACCATGACAATTTATCATTAAATCCTACTAGAAACTTGTTAATTATCTTTCGATCGCAGTGTACATAAAACATTTCATATCTCGAGACTCACGGGCTATCTGTGAACAAATAGATGCCGAAAATGTATTCGAGCATCATTAATCGCATCTCGAGGATGGCATACAATTCCTCAGATTCCAAGAATCGCGATTTAGCCATTTGACAAAAATGATTATTAGACGTAGAAATTGTTCCAACACTATCGGTCGCTCGACGATCTCTCGATCGTGCGATCTCATCGCGATCTTTTGGCGCGACGCGGTCAAATGAAAAAGTCACTTTCACACATCGCGTATCATCCCGCATCCTCGGAGCGATCATCGCACTAGCTAACAATAAGCCGTAAGCGCGTAAGGGTCGACAAAGACGAGAGAGACGGCAAGAGAGTCTCGCAAGACTGACCTGTGCCCATCTCCTCCGCAACTGCTCAAAAGTCGAACATCGCCAGTGAACGCCGTACAGCCGAGCTCGTGGTCCCGACGCGGCGTCGAGGAGGTCGCGCGAAGTCCCGAAGCATTCTCCGTGACGGGATGGCTTCGAGCCTCGACGTACCTAGTCATCTCTCTCTCGTCGGGAAGGGCGTACTCGCGTACTCGCCTCCGCGTCTATGTGTACGTGTATTTGCGCGCGCGCGCGCCCGCGCGCGGCTGTATACATCTATATCTGTATCTATATACATGTATACGCGTCTATCCGTCCGTGTGTATGCGCATATATAGGGGTTGTTGCCCGACTGGCTGCCGGAGCAGCTATCTCTCCTGTCCGTAGCCACATGACGGAGAATCATGGGTCGTTCCCCGATACAGTCGACACGGTCCGGTGGTAGGAGGGGTGGTGGAACGAGGGATGCCGAGGGAAAGGGTAGGTAGGTAGATGGATAGATGGGTGGGTGGTTGCCGAGCGCGAACCAACACACCGACGCCAATCCCTAAACGACCGCGACTCGCGGCGAGAAGGCCACGGTGATGGCGTACCGGGGGGTTACGTCACGCGAATCCACGGCGTAACACCTCTTCTTCACCTCCGCCACCTCCGCCACCTCCGTCGTCGCCGTCGTAGTTGGCACGTTGGCCTACACGTCGGGAGGGATGCGTCGAACGGCAGCGGGGGTGGCGGGACAGACAGGGTGGGGAATACCAGCAGCGAGCTAGCGACTAGACTCAGCCCGGGGACTTGCTGGCCGAGTGGCTGACTCGACTATAGCGGGGTAGCGCTAGTTAGCCATCGGCAACTACGGGGCGGCTCCCGGAGGCCACGTTGTCAGACGGCCGTTACCACTGTGTCATTGGTCGACTCCACCCACGACGGTGCGAGGGGTTGAGGGTGAACGTGCCAAGGGTTGAGGGTGAGTACGCAAAGGGATGGTAGGCGGTGCCAGACGAATCGACGACGCTGATTCGACGCTCGATCACCAGTCGCGTCGCGCCGACCAATCGACGATACGAGATTAGGGTAGCTGACGACGGCGTTAACATCTGCCTTCCGGCAGCGGATATTTGCCAGCGACACGCTAGCAGTGGCGTTGCTTTTTTATGATACAGGGTATACATATGTAGGTAGGTAGATAGACAAGTGGGAAGCTATTCGGGAAAATAGGCAAGTCCTAAAGTAAGAAAATAGGCGAAAAGCTCCTAAAGTAAGTAAATAGATGGGATAAATAGGACAGCCACGATTGACAATTGCTTTTCCGCATGTAAATCTTATTTAATTAAGATTCTAGAAATCCCAGAATGTGTGACGACAAAGTCATACTCCTAGAAATTAAAAAATTATATTGTTAGACTAAATTCTTAATAAATTTTTAATAATAAATTTTTGTTAATTGTTTGCATTAAAGTGAAAGTATTAAAGTTTGCATTAAAGTGAGAAAGAGAAAAATGTATATATAATATCTCTGAAATTTGTACTCACATAGATTAAAATCTACATAATATATAATATTAAAATCTATGTAATATAGATAAATATATTTACAAACTGAAAATATAAATATATGATGCGAATATTTTTTTCTTGCAATTAGCGCAGTACATATTATATCGATTAGGCCATTTTGTCGGCGTTATGTAATGGCACATCTCGCGAGTGAATTCTCGATTATGAGCTGCGCGCGACACCCCGATCGATCATGTCCCTTTGACTTCATGGCTTACACCAGCCAGTCGGTAATCACATCTTAGTTTCCGATTCTCGTTAACAAAGGTCGCATTGTAAAAGAACTTCAAATTCTTCACATAATCTTATTTATATTTTTTAATACATCTGTTTTTATTCTAGAAATAAATTTATTTTAATTATTGTATACTTTTAATATGTATTATATCTTAATAACTTTGTATCACGAATCTTTTTTTATTACTATAATATTTTATAATATTTTATCTACAAAAGAAGAACTTTTATTTTCATAATTTTGTGCTTAATCGTACAAAGTGCGAGAAAACAAATTTAAACATATAAAAAAAACTTTCATTTAATATAATAATTATTATAATTCAAATTAATTAAATCTTAAATGACATTAATGACATTTACGTTTAAAGAAAGGATTACATATTGAATTTCTGTCTTGAACCAATACTTGAATCAAAACAATATTAATTATTATTATTATTATACTAATAGTATATCATATCTTTTGGGAGCATTAAAAATTTTACAATTTATGGAACGTTATAAAGTAATACATATTAGGGTACAATTTGCTTGTATTCAACAAACACTGCAATGTGTTTCTAGGATATATCATTTAATTGGCACTGCTGCAACTGGTCTTGTAACTGAGCGTATCGCATTTGTAACGAGCGTTCTCGCTCTGTTTGTCTATTTACGTCTTCCATGAGCGCATTTATTCTTCTTGGAATAGCTGCCTCTTCTTGCGTTTGTAAAAATTTAAATGTCGATAATTCGAGATGTGCTTGCTCTATTTGCTCCCATAAATCATGCAATTGTTTTGTCAGCACCTGTGTTCTAGTCTATTTTATAAAAATAGAGATGAATTTATAAAATTAACATTATCGATATATGCGAGGAATTTTCTTGAGAAAAATTTTGATTTAGCCACATGAATTAAAGTAAATTTCGTAAAATTATATCATTTTTCACATTTTCTAATCTATAAACATTCTGGTCTTAATTTCATAATATAATCAATTATTTAATTTGTATTTCATAATATGATCAATTAAAATTAACTGTTCTCAATCATATGACAAAGCATATTGCATTAATTCAAATTGCACTATTTAAATTTCAGGTCTAAATATCTATTATATATTAAGACATTCATTCTTAATTCTTTCAAATCGTTGTGTACATTATCATATTTATAATATATTTATCATATTTAGTAAATTATTATATTATTGTATTATTATATTATTGTATACTATTATTATTTATAGTATAATTCTTTAAAGTATAAATTTTATATAAGTTATACTTACAAAAAAAAGAATTTATGTAATATAGAAATAAAGATCAAAATAATATTTCATGGAAAACTAACAACAGATTATTCTAACTATAATTCTAATTATATTAAATATCGAATATCAAGTTTCATTTACCTGATAACCACCAGTAAGTACTTTCAACTTCTTTTCCATCCTCGCAGCACGTTTAGCTTCCCCTGTCATGTGCATACGATTTTCTTCCAATTTTCTTTCGCACGCTTCTACTCTATCTTTCTTCGAAGCTAATGTTACGCGAGTGTATCGTTTCTGTGTTTCGAGATATATAATCTCCAACAGACATTCCTCCCATACAGTAGTATAAGCATCTAAACTTAATTCTCCATGTGCCATTCCTTCCTTTACAACTGTCATCTCGTCAGTTAACATTTTTTTAGCCTACATTTGAATATTATACAATATTAATACAATTAATAATGTAAAAACGATAAAAAGATTTTGCGACATAATTTTAGACTCACATCAAGAAGATCGCTTTCCTCGAAAACATCATACGTATGTTGTTCTAAATAAACTTGAGCCTGAGCCAACGATATTGCGGTACCTTTTCGACCTGGTTGTGTTGGATTATGTAGTGCGTCATAATGTAACATTGTGATCATTTCTCTCTTTATCAATTCTTCAGCCTAAGAATATTATATAAAGTAATTCATAAAAAAATCAAGAATATGTAAAATTTTATACATATAAAGTGCTTAACTTACTCTTTGTAAATCAGTTAATGGTGTATCCATATATGGTCTTAAAATATTCATATTTATATCTGCAGGTCGTGGTAAATCTCTTTGTATCACTTGGGATCTGCGTGACAATTCTCTTTTTCCTGCAGAAAAGAGAAATATTCATTATTAAATCAAATATATTTGAGATTAATGATTAAAAGAAAAATGATACTGTTGTGTGCAACAACAAAAATTTTTTATATATTGAAATATATATATGTTATATTTCATAAACGTGAAAGTTGCTTTGAAACATTCTAAAAGATAAATGAGAACATCTGAAACGTCAAAATAGACTTTTTTGGTTTATGCTTGAATATGTATTTAATAGACTTACTTTCTTCCAATAATTCCTGTTGCCGCCTCGCATCAATATCCGCTTGATCCTCGATTATCTCAGTTACAGGTGCGCTAGTATTTTCCTCATTTATATCTCCATCATGAACATCTATCTCATAATCATTACACGGTGCAGGTAAAGAGCTCAATACCGAGCGTAATGAATTTCTTGCTTGGGTTTGTATAAGTGGAGTTTCTGAACCGTCGATATTTTCATCCGGATTTATATTGAGCTTATCGCGGACAGGTGTTGTCGCTAAAACCCCATTTTGCGTTCGTACTGACGCTCCGCCTGGCGTATTGAAAGAATTCATGGGTGTTCCATCACTGCGCTGTGATCGAAACGGCGTGGTTAAAATTGTATTTGGTGTTGCTACCACATTGCTAGGAGGTACAACACCGGTAAAGTCAGGATTATTCAATGGAGTGTTCAATCCACCTGGAAAAGAATGTTTATAAAATATAATCAAGTGCATGAGATTGACGTACTTGTACATCAAAATTTGTTATATTCTAACCCTTTAAAGGTGTGTCTACATGCGTGAGAGCCATGACATTTTGAGCTTCTTGTAATATTCTATCTGTAGCAGCTGGTGTACGAGGTGTTACTGCTGCATTTGTAGGTAAAGAATAATCTGATAGTAAACTATCGGAGAGTGTAATACCACTTTCAGTAGCAACTTCTCGCGCGACCTGTAATAAAATATCAAGGAATACATGTAGAAATATTAATATGTCATAAATTTTCAATATTATGCATAGAAAATAAAAGAAAACGTACTTCCGAGGCTCTGCCAAGTTTGACAACTTGCTGTAGTTCTTGATCAGAGATTTGTGGTTCGGGTAAGACCAACTTACTTCTTTTTTTCACAGGCTCTTCATTGTTGAGCATACCCATAGGTATATCATTTTCCTTACGTTGTTTCAACTTTTGTTTATCTTTTCTACGCTCCATCTCCTCCTTTTCTTGTCGGAGCTCACCATCTAAATGCTGTTGTCTCATTCTAGAAAAATCGATTGCTAGAGGATCAACATGTTCATTAGAGGTGTCATAGAATCCAGATGCAGGCCGTTTTTCAAACGGTATTTCCGTGTTATAATTGACGCCGCGTTTGCGTTTATTCTTTTGAGAAACAGTAATTCCAGCGGCTCTTAATTCACGACGCTTCTGCAAAGCAGCAAGTCTACGTGCTTCCTCTAATTGTTTTTCACGCGCTTTACGTTTCGCTTTCTTTCCTTGAGTATTTGCAAGCCTAGCACGTGCTTCGGATAACATTTCCAATTCTATGAAGGAATACAATATTAGAAATATGCGTTTTTTGTTATAGAATTAATTATTTTTACTAAATTCAATAAAAATTATTCATTATATTCAATAATAAGCCACTTTAATAATGACACAATTCACAACTCACCATCTTCATCCATATCTTTAGGATCTGGTCTCGCTGGCTTTGTTTCTGGATTAGGATCAATTTCACCAGGTTTGAGTTTGCGAGGATCGTCAACAGCATCATCTCCTTCTTCTTTCTTTTGTGCTTGATCACTAAAGCAGAAATAAATTAATAATAATATATAAACTACAGCAAATTGAAGTAAATATCTTTCATTCTTTAAATAAAAGCCAATCTTACTCACAGTAGATACTCATATCTCTCCAAACACTGTGCAGCAGTCCTACCAATGATGGGTGCGATAGTCCGCCACTGAGTAGGCATTAATTTTGCAAGATGAAGTAATTTTTCATCCTCTTCTCTACTCCATTCAGTTTTCTTTATGCTCGGATCGAGCCACTCAAACCAGCGCGCTTTGCACTGCTTAGCCGATTTTCTGTGCAACAAAGATGCGATACGACTCCATTGATTTTTCCCATATTTCATCACAGCTGCTTTCAAAATCTCGTCCTAAAAAATAGATTTTTTTCAGTAATATAATTAATTATTGTCATATCATACATCACACACACACACACACACACACACAGAGCAAAACTTTATTTAGATTTAGGTTAGAAAATATCATGTCACTTACCTCCGTGTTCCGCCAAACTCCACCCTTTATCATAATTCGCGGCATTTTTTATTTTTATTTATATCGCTATATGAATTATAATTTTTTAAAGTAAAGTTACAATCGTAAATGATCTCAAAGAGATCTTTTATTCAATCTACACTTGCGGTAAACCAACTGAAACAAAGTGCATTATAGAGATGTAACCATGAAAAAATCAAGGCTGTATTCCGAAATTCACTGATAAGGTGCAATTTCATTGACGCTAGAAACCAGCGGCAAATTAAAATCACTAGACTTTCTCTAGATATGGGGTCTGTTCTTTTCAGCTGTACTGCTGCACTAGTGCAATAAGTTAGAAAGAGACAAACATACTTTCTTTCACTCTAACTAATTGCACTAGTGCAGCAGTGCAGCTGAAAAGAACAGACCCATGGCGTCAATAAAATAAAATTCAAACAATTTCAACTTTTTCAGTGTGTAAAGCGGCCTTTTCATTGACGCTACCTTTTAGCGTCAATGAAATTGCACCTTAACAGTTGGCAGCCCTACGAGATAGGCTGTGCAGCACTGCGCGTACATAAAATAAATTTGAAATCGCTTCTAGCCTAACCATCTTCACGCGATCGACTTTATTTGAATTGCACGGCATCACATCGAATTATGATGCGGCGCCGATTTGTTCGAACGTAATTCGAGACATCGCGATGCTGTATAAGCGTCGAATGAGCACGAATTGTTACGCAAATATGATAAATCACATCTACTCACCGTTCACCGGCTGTTCCACAGGCCGCTCCACTCGCTCGCCTCGGGACGTCCCATTCCGATCTTGATGCACACGATATCATCAACGCGAACGCGCGACACTTTATTCGGCACTCCCGATATTCGCTCGCATCCGATAATCATCATCAAGGACGCAAATAACGCGACGCGACTTCGCTCCATTTTCGCGATCGCGCTATCACTGAACTGTGAAAAATAACTGTCGCGCACTTTCACCGACATATTATGAAAGTCGCGCGATCATCCTTGGACACTTTCGACGCTCTTTCACTCGCGATATTCGTTTAAAAACGGTTAAAAGACGCGAAAAATGCGGACGTACGATGATCCGTGTAACTGCGTATGACTCCGATTCACGTATGACGCGTATGACGTCGCGATCACGCGCCAACATGGCGGCCGAACCAGTGCGCACTGGTTCGGCCGCCATGTTGGCACGTGACTGCTACGTCATACGCGTCATAGCTACGTCATACGCGTCATACGTGACTTGGAGTCATACGCAGTTACACGGATCGTCGTACGTCCGCATTTTTCGTGTCTTTTAACCGTTTTTAAACGAATATCGCGAGTGAACGAGCGTCGAAAGTGTCGAAGAATGATCGCGCGACTTTTATAGTGTGTCGATGGAAACGCGCGACAGCGATTTTTGACGACATTCAGTGATGGCGTCATCGCGAAGATGGAGCGAAGTTGCGTCGCATTATTTGCGCCTTTGATGATGATTATCGGATGCGAGCGAATATCGGGAGTGCCGAATAAAGTGTCGCGCGTTCGCGTTGATGATATCATGTGCATCAAGATCGGAATGGGACGTCCCGAGGCGAACGAGTGGAGCGGCCTGTGGAACAGCCGGTGAACGGTGAGTAGATGTGATTTATCATATTTGCGTGACAATTCGTGCTCATTCGACGCTTATACAGCATCGCGATGTCCCGAATTACGTTCGAACAAATCGGCGCCGCATCATAATTCGATGCGATGCCGTGCAATTCAAATAAAGTCGATCGCGTGAAGATGGTTAGGCTAGAAGCGATTTCAAATTTATTTTATATACGCGCAGTGCTGCACAGCCTATCTCGTAGGGCTGCCAACTTAAGGTGCAATTTCATTGACGCTAAAAAGTAGCGTCAATGAAAAGGCCGCTATAGAGTAACTCAACAGATCTAAAGCCGAGTCACGTTTGATCACGTCCAATTATATCGACCTGTGCCTAGGGTAACCAGTAACGATTGACCAATCAAAGAGTTCTATTTTGAATTGGCCAATTGGAGACGTGATCAATCAGGTGCTACACGAACAGAACTAAAGTGGAATAGTCGAATACGGAACAATCAATGAAATTTGATTCCTAAAAATTGCGCGAGATTTAAATGCAATTTTTATTAAAATTGGAGCATCGATAAATTCCATTCTAAAAAGCCGTGTAATACATATCGATAATACGGTGATTTTAAGTATAAAGGTTTGTGTAAAAATAATAAAAAAAATAACAAAGAAATACTACCTTATATTTTACATAATGCACAAAAATGCATTAATTTTATTGTATAAAAGTAGTAAAAGTATGAAATAAATGAACTAAAAATTAATAAATTGAATAAATTTTAAGAATTATGATTATTTAAATAAAATTATTTAATTTTATAGAATTCTCAAAAATGAGAATCTATATCTTGGTATATACATCAAGTAAAATATTTATATATATGCCTTGTGTACGTTAAAAATTTTCGCGAATAATTAATGTTTAAGAAATGTACCATCCGCGTTTTGCTCTTATTCATTCGTTTCTTAAGTATCATGTTAAAAATTATTTAGCATTTTAAGGAAACAAACAATACACAAGGATCCCAATCCATTGTATATTGTATGACAATGCGGAAAGATTAAATCAATTTCTCATCAGGTAAAAATAATATCGTTCGGCGTATAACATAAACGAATGAGAGAAAAATAATTTATCATGAAAAAATGTAGTCACACATTATAAAAAAATTTTTTTCTATAACGGTTAATCTTCGAAATATTTCATTGGCAAACTTTTTTTTCCACTTTTTAATGGAAAAATCTTTTATATTATGTAACACAATATTTTAGATTTTTCAAAAATGAACAGAGTGAAACGAGATAAATTTTTTAAATAACATACTAAGTTTAAAGATATTTCATTTCAGAATATCAAAAAATTCTGATGATTTCAAATATTAATATTAAATAAATATTGAAAGTTATTTAAACATATACAAACAGTAACGAGATATTATTGCAAGGGGTCTAGCAAATTTTGCCAGGACACGAGAGAGATTCGGAACTTTTATTACGACATTATAAATGCACAAAAACATCTTAAAAATATGCGTGTATATGTGTAAATAAGTGTATTATATATGGGCATTGTAATCAGGAGAACGACAGATTTAATTACAGTATGGTAGGATGAAAGAGAGAGCTCTACACGCGATTATTCTCTTCTATATATATATGTATATTACTCTATGTCTCTCTATATTTTTCCTATTTTCTTACTTACTTCTTTTTTTTTGTTCTTTTTTATTCGCTACTCTTCTCATTTAACTTAAGAGCTAAGTATAACGCGCTAATCAATCGCTCGACTACGTTCCACGATTACACACGTGCGTACACCTTTGCAGCGTTATTAACCTTTGCAGCGAAATTAGAAAAGTATATCGACTACAAGGATAATTAACATGTGAATGTTTTTTCCAAAAACTTGTTGGGATATTTTCATGGAGAAATAACTATATACGTTACAAAGACAAAAATAGCGCATTACAGAAATTATGATGAAATAAATCCTTGTAATGTGTTGAAATCAAATGTTGCCAGCAAAGATTTTGCTGCAAAGATGTTTCGGATAAAATATCTTAAAATTTAATATCGCCGCAAATGCGTTACGCACGCAAACATTGTTCACGGTTCTGAAAGAAAAATATCTCATCTTGCGCATATTTTCTCAACATCGTACATCTTATCTCTTTTCTCGTTGGAAAAGCAATTTGTTATCTTATGCACAATAATATATTAATATGTGCAAAGATAGGGAGCAAGTAAAAACATTAATGTTAGATATCTAATTCTCAATTTTCCTCACGGCTTGTCATATCCACGTTTTCCATTTTCATCGCTGAAAAGACTCGACGTGATTTTTCGACAGGATTTTCTCATTCAGAACCACGATCAATGAACACGCGCGAACTCGATATTCTAAAAAAAAAACTATAATATATTAATAAGAATATACTCTACTCCTTACCTTTCGAAAAAGATCGAACATCTAGAACTAGAGTTTCGAAAAAAGAGACAGAAGGAACAACACAGTTTAAAGGAAGAGTGAGTGAAAGGAAGGGAAAGAGATAGACAGAGAGATCGACAATAGAGACGCAGCTACCGCAAAAGTTAATATATCTCATGCCACGTCTCTATTAAGAAAAAAACCAGCACCATTGTTATAAAATCACCATCACTTATTTGACATTTCTCATTAAAGACTTTGCCACTTCTCAAGTATTCGTCATCAAATCAAATCTTGCCGCTGATCAGTTACGCACAAGCGAGAGAGTGGATTGCCAAGAATGAGAGTGTCGGTCCTTCAGATAAGCGCAATGCGCAATGTCTTCTTTATGCTCAATTCTAAACAATACAAAAAGAAAATTTTTAATAAAAAAACATATGCCGTACTCGCGTGCAATTAGCTGCACGTTTATTCCTCGAAAAAAAAAAGATGGCGTCTGCATTCCTGAAAACAGTCATTTTATAAACGCAAAGAAATAGAAAGGAGAGAGAGAGAGAGAAAGATAATTTAATAAAGATTTTACATTAAAATAATATGTACTATTTAGAATTAAATTTTTATCACATAATTTTTATAGATAACAATCTACAATTAATTAAAATGAAAGAAAAATGTCTTGTCGCGAAATCGTATTTTTGCTCTCGTCAAAGTTTGCAGCCTAAACGCATCTCTCCTCTCCTTCTCTTTCTCCTAAATAGATGCGTCAGCAATTGTGACTTATCAGCTACCTTTAATGGTGCCTTCTTACAACGCCTGAACCAGCGTACAGACTAGAAAGTGCCACAATTGTGTGACAACGAGATATCTACTAGATAAACGCGTAGGGAAAGAAGAGAAGCGATACAATCTCCCTTTCTTGAATTTCTTTTTTTAGTACAAAAATAGATTTCGGACGCAGATCGCGCAGTCTCCTGCAAGGATGTTCGAGGTCCGCTTTAGCAACGAATGTTATCGTCGTACCTTTCATAAAAGTGGCATCAGATTTGTGACTGCGAACGTGGAATGGTACATTTTATTTTAACATGCGTAATAATTTTTTTATTACATTACTTAAAGGTGCTATAATGTCATAGATAAGCGAAAAATATATCGCATAATCGTATTATCCGAAAGACGCGAACGAATGCGCAGAACACAAGTTATGTAGAGAGCTAATGTATGCCAACTACCACATCGACTTATATATATGTATAATAATATAGTTATAATATATATAATATGATAATATATATAGATTATAATTAACAATGTATATATATGCTATACAAGAAAGAAGAAAATTTGGTTAGCTCAATAAATTTGCGAGTTACGATTCCCCGAAATTATATCAGAAAGCCTGATATTAAAATGAGAACATGATTTCGCGACAAGACTGCGCGAAGGCGTCCGATCGAAGGACAATATCGAATCACCCGTTGAGAAAAAGGGCGAGAGAGTTATATTAAATCTTTTATATTACCGGAACACGCTCAATAATAACTAATATTCTCAGAGTTGTAAAGAAACGTGAACTCGTATCCTTTTGCCAGGACGGTGCCCGTAAAAGCGTATTTTTATACAGCAACGAAAAAATTATTTTTTTTAATTTGAAATATCGGGACATAACATCTATACAAGAAAAATCTCACTACTCGGTGAATACAACTTCACGATGCATTCAAGTTGCAAGCGTGTAGCGAGTTTGAATCCTGCCGTGATTAAATTATGAGTCATTTAATCGAGACGCGATTAAATCGTGAAAATTCATCGTTTACAATGCGAAAAGACAGACACGAGTCGGGAAAAAGGATACAAGCTTATCTTTGAGAACTTTATCTTTTTATGCGGCAACTCGACGAGCAATTACATACGATTATTTTTTTGTAACGATTTGATATTTGAAGCGCAAAAAATTCTGTCATCATTTTTTGCCTTGGCAATCTTATATCTCACGTAATTACATCAATTGTAACTGCATCTTATAAATAATGTCGAAGAAGAGTCGCTCGTCGATTTACCAATACTGGATGTACAAAAACGAAGAGAAAGCTCGCGTTGCGAGCTCGTCAACTACGTCTACAATATAATTATATATGCGCATTAATCAATTATAATTATTAACAACATTATTGATCGCACGCGATCGTTGAAGAAACAGAGGAAAACATTGCATAAGTATGCCTTTCCTTTTGTTTATATATTCGCTTGTACTAAGTTTTCATAAGCTCCCTCCGATAATTGTGCCCTTCTCGACGAGACAAATGAGAGAGAGACTCAGCGAGAAAAGCAAGCGCACCGATATAATTACAAAGATGCGCGAGGAAAGCGCTAAGTGGACCAAGACTCTGTTCTTGATCCTTTCGATTGTCAAGACAATGCGAAATCAATAATTCTTCGCTCACATGGAAAACATTATTCATAATAATGATAAGCGTACTCATAAGCGATATAAATACGCTTATCATTATTTTTATAAAATTTGTATTTCCTTATATATATATATATAATGGTACCACGAGAATAAAAATTCTTCGCGTCGTATCTATAATAATATATATCACACGTAAAATCAGAAAATCCGTTCGTACAACGGTACGGTAAAAAATTTTACGTAATTGTAGAGAGTGTATTCGAGTTAATTGTATATTCTCTCTCTCTCTCTCGCGCGCGCATCCCGCGTGTAAAATATTATCGTGTCGAATAATATCGCAATATCGTATTATTACTTCAACGAAGAATACATGAATTTCTATACGCGCACACGCCGATGTTTATATTGTCAACTTTAGTCTCTCCTCTCATAAATGCGAGACTTTTGTGTTGTAAGATATCGTCCTCTCTATTATTCGACGCGATGAGCTCCTCACTTATTATTTAACAGGCCGCGATCGACTCAGCGCATCCCCGGCTCGCATCAAAATCGCGTTCTGTGTCATTACTTAGCGATATAATGTATATACGAGAATTTATCGAGCATGGTTCCTGTAGTCGTATCCGCGTTCCTATCGAAGAACGACGGAGAAAAACTAGAAAAGACACTTTAGATTCGTACTTTCGCAACGAATAAGAGAGAAAGGAAAAATATTATATATTTTGTGTTGTGTGTTCAGGTGAATATCACGTGTGAGTATATTCTATATGTATACATGTATGTATGCGTATATATCTGAGTGTGTGTGTGTGTGTGTGTATATATATATGTCGGAATGAGAATCAATCTCGAAATAGCACTAATAAATTCTCAACTCGTCGTGAATTCGGAAAATCTAAGGACCCAAGTTTCTAAAGATTTGCTACTTAAGAAGATTAAACCGACGAGAAGTGCAACGTTAACGAAATATCGATAGAAATTTGTAATGTATAATATATATTATTTATGTATATATATATGTATGTAATATATACCGTAATGATTTTATGTATATATATATATATATATATATTATGTATATGTATATATAATCACATATATATTCATTCATTCGTCCTATATATATATTATATATACTCTGGAAGGCGACAGTAGAGAGACTACTGAAGTAAATGCATAATAATATACGCAGAGAACGAAGACATCGATTTTGAAATTTCCGTCTTATCGTACTATTTCTTCTTTACGTGCTACTTCTCCGTTCATTCATCTTTTTCTCACGATAGCTATTTGGATTCATTCGAATCCTCAGCACCTACGCCGTATATCTTTCTCTTATTTTACCTTTCTTACAGCGTAGTGATACAATTGGCTATCGTGCGACTGCTTAAAATACATCGGAGATTTTCGCATGAATTGAAACAAAATTCAAAAACGACAGCCCACCAAATTCTCGCTCGTTTTTATCGCGAAAATGCTACAGCGAGATTCAGAGATAGAACGAGAGAAAAAGAGAGGAGGAGAAAATGGATAAAGAGCAAGAGGGGGATGAAAGAGTCCTGAGTGACAAAGAGAAAGATGAAGGACGAGAAACGAAGTGAAGGTTAAGATATGAGCCTGAGATAAAGTATTCCGCTTAAACGTGTTGCACAAACTCTGGATTGAGATAGGAGAAGCCCATAAATTCCGTCTGATCCAAGTTCATCATGAACAGCTTATCCGTAGGAGTCAGATCCGTTTTCTCCGAGGTGAATTGCTTGTCGAAGTTACTCACGTCCTTGCGATGTTGCTGCAAACGAAGAACAATGGTTGAAAACATTTTTGTTTTAAATAAATTCCAAAATATTTGTCTGCGACAAATGCTTACAATCTTTGGCTTAAAAGGTGGTTGCACCTCGCGGTTCTCTATTCTCACCCAGTCAATACGACGGAAGAACGCGTGGCTCCGCACATCATCCTCCCCGCGCGATCCGCATCCTAATCTCTTGCTCGGATTCTTTGTGAGGAACTGCAACAAATTTCGTGCGAATTAAAAATTCATAGTCACATGAATAAATAAAAAAAAATAAATTTTATTTAATATCGAAAATGGAAAGTTACACAAACTAAAGAAGATTATTCGGAGCATATTTAAATAAGTCTAAAACTCTATTTAAACTTATTTAAATTCCAGGAAGCTATTGAGGTAATACTGGGATAGAAGACATGCTTACCGCTTTACAAACTTCTTTAGCTTCTTTGGATAAACTCTTCGGATAACTGACATTATGGTCCGTAATCGCGGAGAAAAGTTCGTCCTCGTCCTCGCCATCGAACGGTGGCTGACCTACTAGCATCTCGTAGAGCAATACACCGTAAGCCCACCAATCCACGGATTTGCCATAAGGTTGATATAAGATAATCTGCGCAGGAATAAAAAAACAACATAATTCTGATAGGTAAGATCGTTTCAAAATTTCAGCTCAATTTTTTATTGGATATCTTCCTGGATTATATACAGCTAAAATATACGATATTATTTCTCTTGCAAAATTCAGAGTCGATTTTTACAGTAAAAATTACGAGATGTTTATCATTTTCAAAAATAAAATATAAATTAGCGAAAATTAAGCTTCCTTGAAGAAGAGTAATATTTTACTCGTAATAAAGTTGATTTTGGCAAAATTTTAATTTGAGATTTAGTATATAAACCTTATCAAGATCAGGAAAATTAAAGTTAAAATAAAATTATAAGAAATATATGATACCTCTCGCCATATTTGTGCTAAAGAAAAATTGATTTTGAAATTTACAATGTGTGCGTGTGTATCATTCGTTAATATTTCAAGACAATTACAAGTTATTACAAGTTCTGTTGAAATATTTACCTCCGGCGCTATGTAATCGGGCGTGCCGCAAAAGGTCTTGGTAGTTTTATCGCCAGTGATGCCTTCCTTGCACATGCCAAAGTCGGCGATCTTTATGTGGCCGTCCTGATCCAGTAGAACGTTATCGAGCTTGAGATCGCGGTAGACGATGCCGCGTGCGTGCAAGTAGAACAAACCGATCGCTATCTCAGACGAGTAGAATCTGCGAATGTGAAGAGAGACGCGTAAATCGACGCGAGGGAGATATACTCGAGATGAGTTTCAAAACTACGAGAACAAGATTTGTGCGAAATTCGATGGAAACGTGCCACGGACACGGAGATAAAATAATCGAGGTTTTACAACGGATACGGTCGAGATTAACGAGCAAAGCGTAACGCAAAAGGTCACGACGAAAATGACGACGACGACGAAACAACGATACAAACGCGCGCAAACATCCGTCTCGACGAGACGCATCTCTCGAGTACAATCGGTTTTCATTTCGTATTCGAAATGCGTTGAGAAAGTTCGACAGCGTGAATCGCTCTCGAGTTGTCGCGTCGTCGTCATCGTCTCTCACGGCGCTTTAATAGAGTTAAGGATATCGATCCGCAAGTTAAAGCGGAGCACGTTCACGGACGTTAAAATACTCACACTGCCACCGGCTCTTTAAATTTGCCACACTGCTGTATTTGGTACATCAGATCGCCGCCGTTCACGTATTCCATTACGAAGTATAGACGATCCTGAGGTGGAAAGCAGAAAGCGGATCTTTGTAAGCGCGAGCAAGTGTTTCAGTTAATCTTTCATCATTTCACATCGCCCGCATACAAGAAAGCTTATGTGCTTTTCGCTCAATGTTCCCCTCTTTGTGAAAATTTAATAGAAAACTTAATAAGCAGATTATACCATTCTGATAACGTTTGAAGCAAATTTTTAAAACGCGAATAAACGAGAGCTTAGTTTACTTTTTTACACATTTCAGTCGGATTTTGCTGTACGACAGAATTTTTTTACTTTCTGTTTTAGAATTTTATATATTTAAAATATTTTAATATTTATTTTGAAATTTACAGTACGTCATACAAATAAAAATCCTAGCTTACGAGACAAAAATGAATAAGCTTTGTACATGTACATATTTATCTATTAAAAACAAAATAATAAATAAAAAACAAAATAATATATTTTCTGTTCATTCATATTTCATTTAAATTTCTTGAAATTTATAATCTAAATAAAAAAAGTTATCCTGTAATCCAGACTAGCGAAAAAGTATTTTGTCCGTACCATTGTCTGAAAGCAAGAATGTAATTGCACGAGGAAAGGTGGTTTATTCGAGAGCGCGAGTACACGTTTCTCAACCATCGTGCATTCCACATCGTCGTCCTGGATAATGATGTCCTTCTTCAAGATTTTGATAGCGTACAATTCGTCGGTTCCCTTTCTCTCCGCCAGCAAGACCTTGAATTCATTATCGATCCCAAAATTGAGATGCAGTCGAATTCGAGGTATAACCATTTCTCGAGATCGTCAAAACTCACCTTGCCAAAGCTGCCTTTGCCGAGTACCATTAAGAAATTAAAGTCGCTAGCTCGTATCAAATCGCTCTTGCCCATATTGTGTGGCACGTCCTTATCTTGAGTCGCATGTGTCTTCTTCGTCACCGAAGTTTTCTAGATAAAATTCGTGAAATATATCCGCGTACGAATCATACTATAGATATCTAGGCAATTATTTTATTCGAAATACGAAATAAAAGATAAATATAACATCTCGATTAGTAAGTTATTTTGAAATTACTTTGTTATATTTATCAAAATAACAATTTCATAATTTGAAGTAGATATTTCAAAAGGACTCTTCATTAATTTTTCACTTCAAATCGTAAAATAATAAATATTTATATTTATTACTTTAAAATTGTGCTTTTATATTTTGAATATAAATTGCAACATTTGTCAAGTAAATAAATACCCGCATTTTGGTTTTAAGCTCGGCGAGGTCGACGCCTTCCTCAGGAACAGGTACATTGTAGAACTCACCCTCCTCTTGAGTGAGCAGCTTGAACCAACCACTCGCGGGCGCTTTGATAAGCTCCGATATGCCAAAAGATAGAGATCCCATAAAATCATTTCTGGACGTTCGATCCCAATCCCATACCTCGATCAACAGCCGCCTATCTTTATCCTCGGGTTTCAGATCGCTAATAGTAAAAGCCAGATTGCTAAATGCTGCTTTATCTCACAAGAATAGCAATTTTCAATTTCAAAGATGTGCTCTTCCTATTTGAACGATCAATCCTTTGATGTGTCATAAGATGAAAAAATTGAAAAGATAAAACATTTGATTTATTTAAAAGATCTATTAATTTGTTATTATATAATTTATTAAAGTGTTGATAAATAAAATGTCAATATATAATTCTTTGTTAGAAAAAATTAAAATTTTCAAAAAACTAAAATTTTATAAAGTTGTAAAAAAAAATAAAATCTCTTGCACATAATTTGATGTTTTGTATAATTTGGGAAATATTTTACATCAAGATCAAATTCACTTTAGCCGAAATTACAGAATTTGTGTACCTAAGTAGTTGATTTAACAAATGAACGGTGTATTATTTTCAGCTATTTAATACACGTGAAACTCACACAGTCGGAAGGAAATATCTCGAATCGCTTTATCGTTAAAAAAACACATCTGCATCTTAAAATTTTCAAGAATAAATATCTAAATGTTTGTCATAAATCAAACTCGACAAGCAAGCAAAGTAACTTACAAGGCGAGTGTCTCGTTCCATTCTGGATTTAAGCACGCCTTGATTGTCTTTGTTTTCTTCTTTACATTGTCCGAGTCCGGGATTAGCTTCAGCTTAACATAAGGATCCGATAGCCCGTTCGGATCCATCGGAATAAGATTTCGTCCTTCTCGCACTGCGAACGAACAAATCAAATTCTTTCGGAAAGAATTTATAGAGGAAAGATATACATAAGATAAGTTCCGGAGCATACATTTATCGGAAAACGAATTTCGCGTAGGATGTTTTGAAAAATATGTTAGCATCGATATTGTTACAAACAAAAAATTTTTCGCGTATTAAAAACAATTTAGAAAAAAATGCGTCGTAAATTATCAAGTGTTTGTCATAAACTTTAAAATACATGTATTACCTATCAATTTTTGTCTACTATCAATCACATTATTTATGTATTTTTTATATATCGATTTAATTTATTATAGGATTATTGAAAAAATTATATTCGACCAAACTAGCCAGAAATTTCCTTTATTTAATACGACGTTTCGACCATATGGTTGTGGTCCTTATCAAGTATATACGATGAAATATAATAATCAGGAGGCAAACATAGCGCTTGTGAAAACCATCACGAGTCACAAATAAAAAACGTTATATAATTAAATTCAAAAAACGAGAGAGACTGATGCGTCCATGTGAGACTTCGTCGAAAAACATTGTTTTTCGACGAAGTGACTCGTGATGGTTTTCACAAGCGCTATGTTTGCCTCCTGATTATTATATTTCATCGTATATACTTGATAAGGACCACAACCATATGGTCGAAACGTCGTATTAAATAAAGGAAATTTCTCTTCTTTTTTAACTCTTTTTAAGTGATATTACAACACTCGTCAATCTTTCTTATATTGCAGAAAAATTGATTATATAATTTATATTCTACATTTAATGCTAAATATATGTCTGACATTTCATAATAATAAATAAATAAATAATATAATTAATAAATAAGTACTTTATTAGCTAGAGAAATGAACTGTGACTAAGAAAAATTTAATTACGTGGAGAAAAGTCGCGCTTTGTTTCGCGCGAAAAAACCTCTAATAGGTTTTATCGATAACTTTGATTAAACCTCGAGGACGGTGTAATATCCTGGTAGTACGTTCGCGCGCTACCGCGAATGAGTTTGAAGAAACCTAATTTTCGAGATAATCGACAGGTGATAAGAGCCTCGAGGGAATCGACACGCCGTTTCCCCGCAATGCTTGTCGAGAGCCACTTACAGTTAGATGAAAATATTGCGATACGCGGCAAGATGTTATCGCAGCGGGTGCCGCAAATATTTTCTAAATTTATTAAGGGATTTCTCTCTCACCTATATAAACGATAATCCTATATTAAAGATAAATTTTATTCTCTTTCACGAGAAAATATAATGGAGGACGCGAGAATAAATATTTGTAAAGGCACGATAACAAGGAATAAATTCAGATTCAATTGAAAAATATTATTATTGTACCTGTAAAGGAAGACCTCTATGACTAATAGATAAAAAAAAACAATACGTTATATGTCGGAAAATCCGACGTGTGTTTTCGGCAACATTGCCGGCGCTGTTGTTTATACGCAGTCACCTTACTCAGTCATTCGCGATTCGAGACTCGAGCGAATAGGTAGTCACGCAAGTCGCTCCGTTTTGAAATGATTACTAATATTCTAATATTATTTCTCGAGACGAACGTAACGAAGTATTATAAGATCACATCAAACGCGAACATTTCCTTTATATACAATCATTACAATTAGCGATTATCAACTTACGCGATCGATTAATTTTTGCAATTATTGCGTCTTAACAAATCATTAATTCGATTCCTATCACACGATATCAAAATAACCGATGTTATTATTGAATTTCTCGATCTTTAATTGGCGTCAAAATGTCATAATGAATCGATTCCAAGTCGAGTTATTTAATTAATAAACACAATTGTATTTAATTATATATATTTCAATACTTATTAGCACAGCATAGTAAAAATTCAGCATTTGTATATCAATGATTTCCATTAAAGCGCGTATTTTACGTTTATTCGCAATCGAGATTTATCATGCAAATAGACAAATAGTCGGTATGTATTTTCGGAGAGATATTGTACCCGCGGATATTTATTTTCAATTTTATCTCATTTATTTGCATTTACACTTCGTTAGAATACAAGATAGTAATCATTTCGAAAAAAAAACATATACTATTTAGCGACAGATTTCGTGTCGCAATGAGTGACATGCGTAATTTGGCGTAATTTTCTAACGTCAAGCGAATCGTAGTCTTGCGCGAGCAAAGTTTTCGCGTTTTTCCTCCATCGCAATTTAATAAAGTGGCGTCGCGTGCAATTAATGTCGCGAGTATCGTGCAAAGTGCCGCGCGATTGTTCCATTGTACGCAATTAGTGCAAGCGCGATCATAATTAATCGCCTTTTCGCGAGTGTAAGTGCCAAAGAAGCATCAAAGGATGGACAAGAGAGATAGCAAAGACCCGGAAAAGCATCGTGCAACGGCGAAGTAACCCTAGGGGGTAAGCAATTTTCTCACAACTTACTTAATTATTTACTCCTTGTATATTAATTGCTCATTTATTTCTATAATCAACAATAATTAAATTATTATATTAAATTATTGTTTTAAATTATTGTATTAAATTATTGTTTTCTTTAACTTGAGATATCTATAATGGATGTAGGAAAAAAAGATCTTTATGTTTATTTTTATAAAAAATTCATCTTATATATAATTTAAAAAATTAACAATTAATAGGAATATTATAAATAATTATAATTCTCGTAAAATCGACTGCATTGAGAGAAATAGATTATAAGACAAATTTATATATAAATAAATATTTAATCTTGAAATATAACTGTTCTCGATTCATCGTGCAGACACATGCAAACTTGGTCAGCTCATAAAACAAAGCTCATTATTATCAGTATATTATTGACTGTTTTGATAATTTACTCGAGCTTTTGGTATTTTATTACAAAACAGAATATATCAATTACAAGGTATACAAACCGCTTGAAATTTATACAAAATTTAAATTCGCAGATATATAATAATAAGAAACATATGTTACGATATTATATTATATTTCACATAATGCGTCAATTTTTTAATTTATAGTCTATCCTTAATAATTTATTATAATTGACTTTATACGACTTGAAACTAAATAAATTGACAAGATTCAATGATATGTCCAATTAAGATATCTCAAGCTAAACAAATATTAAAATGCAAAAAACGAATTCTTTAAAAAGAGCTAAAATACATATTTTCACAATTAAAAACGTAATGCTGCGACAGAAAATTATCACTCTAAAACTATTATTTAATAATCGCTTGTTAGTTAGCAAATTTCTGCAATCTGAGCCTGAGATCAGAGACCTTTAAGATATCTTTAATGTAAAATGATTCACGAAGATGACAAATATAATAATGTATTACGATTCAGACACGTGCAATATATGAAACATAATATCGGGTGTATTTAAGACAAGTTAAGCCGAGGCCACTCGTAGCAGCATGAGCCTCGATAAACCGATCTGATGAGAATCATGGAAAATTTAATGCACTTCAGCCGCGGCGAATTTAGAGGATGTGGCCAATATATATATACGTCAGGAAGACTGCGAATAATTATGCTCTCAGGTTGTAATGATATTCAGAACCATTTCGTCCTTGCAGTAATAACACCTTATAACGTCTACAGTTATCGTCCTCGATTATAAATGATATGACCGATAAGAATTCTGACACTATAATGTTATACCATATTCATATTTATCCGAAACGATCGACCTCGAGAGCAAGGATGACGATAACGTTGCTCTGTTTTATTAAATCGTAGATTGAAGAAAAGAGAGGGACCCTAATTAATTTTAATAAACGAATAACATTCGTAAGTCTAGCTAATAAAGAGTCATTAACAAACTATAATATTAATATCGCGTCATTTATGTAATGAACATTTCTTCTCTGCTCTTCCTTTATCTCTAATTTGAACGTTTGTTAGAAATTCGTTGAATTCGTTGAATTGTAGCAATCGATGAATAAATCCTAGTTAATCGATTTGCTCACAACGGTCTCTCGTTAAAAAGGAAATAACGATGCTTTTCCATCGTTCGAAACTTCGCTGTAAAAATTACATCATCGCAATCATGACACAGATTCGACAGGAAACGGCATATCGACGAGTACTTACTGTGCAAAATTTAAATCGGATTTTTTTTTCGCGGTATGATTGAATTGTCAGAATTCACAAAAGTTAATTGAATTAAAAGTCTTATATTGCATATAAAACGCAATTTTATACTGTATATAAAACGCAAGGTCGTAACATACACTATGAGATTATGGTTATTTTTTCAATATTATTTAACTGCCATGAAATAATCTAAAGAGCAGGTTGAATAAGTTTAATCATTTAATGAGAAATAGTAGTAAAAATTGATAAAAATGAGATTTTAATGTACATTAGTTTTCATGCATGATTTATTTTTTTTATAACATGTAAGATTTCAACTTTTTTTTATTTAGAATCATAAATAAAATATTTAAAAAATAGTTATGTTCTTTTCGTATAGTTAAAAAAATATATCTTATATCATCAAAAGACATATAATTTATATCGCCATAAAATACTGTTATAAATTACTATAATATTGTTATATATTGTTGTAATAAATAAATAATCGCAGGAGTAAAATATATTCCGTCATCAAATCGTGTAATATTATGTAATAATAATATAAGATAACTCTCTTAGGATATATAATAATAATTACGCTCTCAGGTAGTAATCCACTTTAATCTAAGAATCTGAGAGGACGAGAAACTGAATAATTCATTAGCTGAATAATTCATTCATATAATTGCATAAATAAAATATAACTTAAAAAAAACATATCAACACGATAGCGTTCTGCTTCAAATATCTAATATAATAATACAAGTAATAATACGTGACTGATGATTGTGAAATTAAAATATCAAAAAGCGCGAAAATTTTCAAGAAGTTGATTTTCGAGACATAAACGTTGGAAAAAAAAGTATCAAAATCAATATCAGTATAAATTGATTCTGAACTTACCCTCTATGGTGAGTTTGCCACCGGAACACGTGATGTGCAGGTGTATACGACCACGTCTTTCGGTGTGATCGCATCCGCATAGATTCGGCACGCTCTCCTCGCACCTCTTGTGTACGTTCATGTCGCATGCTACGTCATTAGATCATTATCGATTATATCAGCATCGACTATGATTAATCTTTCTTTTTCTCTTTTTCGCGATCAGATCGACCCTTCGTGCAATTAATTTTAGACGAAACCGCAGCTGTCATTCGCGTCTCAAATTATGAATGCAAGGGAGAGGGAGTAGGTTCGTTCGTCATTTTTGAAATATTCGTAAATCAGCATCCGATATTTTAAAACTTAAATAATTCTCGAATACAGCTGTGGTCACGCGCTGGAGATGCTATATACGCGTGGGAAATAAACTGACTCAGGAATATAAATGAAACATTTATTACGAAAGTAGTTTATCTTGAAAGTACGCTTCAAACATAATTACAAGCAAAATATATATGCATATATATTTTTTTATGTTAAATAAATTAATATCTGAATAAAAAAAAATGTTCACCAGAAAAAATGATTTGACGCAATAAAAATGCAACAATTAAAATATGCGTTTATATTTTTTAATATTTACAATATATAAATATAAAACATATTTCGAGATATTTTTAACATCACTTTCAAAATAAACTGCCCGAATATATTGTTACGGAAACTGAATACCGAAAAAATTCGCGTTTTAAAATAAATTGAAGAATATTCTTTTGTTTCATGCTGATGAAAATGTAATATAATGAAAATATATTATATAAAATGTATTGCGAGAACACCAACGTGAAACGGCGAGTGAATGGGATCATAGAGCGAATCGAATTTAAAACTTGCAGCTCGAAGGAAGGAGCTGCCAATGAGGAAGTATATATGAGAATAACTGGTTTTTGTCGATCTATAGAGAGCTAATGGAGCAAAAATTGCTGCAATAAATCTAGCTAAATGAGCCTTTAAGAATGTCGATTCGCTCTTCAATTCTTAAAACTGTTAATCGATATTAATAATTCAATAGTAAAATAAAATCATTTATAATGAATTGTATTTTACAAAAAATAAGAAACTATTTCTACAACATAGAATCTCATTTGTAATGATGTGTATTCCCACGCGTACATATGTCAAAATTTTTTTGGCTATCTAGTGCGAAAACATATGTAAAAGTAATGAGAGGTTCGATGCACAAATAATGATAGATAGTGACGTGTGTAATTGTGTACAAATACATGTCGACAAAAAGCTAAATTGCGAGTAACACGAATGATAATCACGCCAGTGATCAACATACAGTGCGCAATCAGGGATTCGCATGTCCGTTAAGGGAAGATATTATACGATTATTTGAATTTACGCGCTGATAGGTGGGCGCTATAAATCTACGGACGTAATAGATATATAACGTTTACGTGCATGCACGGCAAACATTGTTTGTATGTATATACATATGTACAGTGAACTCGTATATCTCGCGAGTCAGTGTAATCTAAATAAATACATACAGCGAAATTCTTAATTTATACATAGACTTTTGTTATATTCCTACGTAATCCTTAAAGAATCAAGTACTCAAAGTATTAAGCCACAAATCCTTCAACCATAAATAAAACGTTGACGTAATCACATAAAACTTTATCATTCGCTTAAGCGTACTTTATCCTTTTACAAAATGTTAATTCAATATTTAATTTTATATATTATAGTATTTGAGAAACATTAAAAGTTGTAGACAACAGAATTCAAAATTATATTTTCTTTGGAAATTTTTCCTGCGAAGAACTTGATCAAAAAAATTGTCATTGAAATTAAAATCCCGAAAAATTCCCTTTAAAATAGAAATAAATTTAATTAATAATTAAATTTAGATATTATTCTAACGAGGATTTCGCTGTATGTGTAGCCGTAGGAAACCGTAGTTTTACATATATGTATATAGAGTGTTTCTTAATAAATGCGAAAAATTTTAGGAAATGATTCTTTGTCGAAAATTAAGGGGACTTTTTCATATAAACATATACTCCTACATTTTTCTCCCCTGTGGAGTTACTCCTCCAAAAATGGAGGTAAAAATTAGATTTTTATTTTTTTCTTAAATTTGGAACAGGTTAAAGCAATGAAATTAAGTGAATATTTTCTAGTAATAAAAAAGTTATTTATTAATATTTTTTTTTCAGCATCCCGTATTGTAAGGATGAAACTAGCAATTCAATTTTTTATTAGAACTATAATCCCTATTCAAATTTTTATTAAAACTTTTTAATGTTTATATAAGAAATCCCCCTTAATTTTCGACAAAGAATAATCTCCTAAAATTTTTCGCATTTATTAAGAAATACCCTGTATATGTAAAATTAATCAACACCATATAATTGTGACATTTTCTCATTGAAACAAGGATAACGATGCGTTAAATCGTACATCATGTATAATCTATACATATGTATAATACACTGATGTAGAGATGCGTATGATAGTGCATCGGTGTTCAACACTCGACGAGATATGACGCGGGGTTAGAATACGCCGGTGTGAATAAGCGGCGGGTGAATAGGCGAAGAATGGAGAATGGTATATTAAAATACGTTTCTGCTCGCGCGCTTTGTCGTCGAACATGGGTACGAGACGGTCGTCCATACGACAGAGAGAACGAGGAGAGGATAGATGCAACAACAATACAGTACAGTTGATAACACAATTAAAAATGTATCAAGGCCGAAAGTAAAGTATACCTACGTAAGACCAGTCGTATTAATATTCTGCATTAGCGTTGCAGGGCGCGTTATTAAGTGTATCTCGAATAATACACGTGTTGATTCAAATCACGAACTGATACAGTCGATTGGTTTCTCTCGCAATTCACCGATCGTACGGATGAGGTTTCGTATTTAAAGACGATTTAGTAAGAAAGCAAGCGAGACACTCGGTATACATATCCGTGCCACTCTTGTCGTTTTGCAAAAATCTACCCTTCACGAGATATACCCACGAGATATATCCACGTTAATATACCCGGTACATGATTTTCTGTGTCGGTTAATGTCTAATTACGCATCTCGTCGTTCAGAAACTCTTCTAAGGAGCTCGCGAGAGAAGAGACGATGGTGAGATTTAGCTTCGAATGTGGGGTGGCGGCTCTTCGTATCAAGGAAGACGAGGAATGCTTCTTTTGGGTGCAACAGGAGGATAATTACGCTATCTAAAGCCCGTGTAAAACCCGCGGAGAACATTGAAGCGCGAAAAGTGAACCACACTCGAATCAAGGATTAAGTGAGATCTCTTGCGAATGATACGACGAGGAAATTGTAATAGAATTTCGTATCTTTTTTTCTGGGACATTCTCGAATTTAAATCGATTTGTCTTTTATTATTCCGATTGATATTGAAAGTGGCTTAATTTTGATAAGCTCGCATTTTCCTGCTATAGGGATTAGCAGAATTAATCTCTGTACTTATTTGCGATAATTGGTGTATTCGTAGCAGGTAAAATTAAATTCGGCGAAATCGCATTTGCTTTCAATATCCGCGATTGAAAAAATGTCAATTGAAAACGTTTCTGGATGTAAAATATTATACATTTAAAATTATTATTTACATTTACTCTATTTTATTACTATAAATATTTACTAAAAATTATATATAGGTAAAAATATTTTATATTCATGAAAGTAATAAATTGAATTTTTTCATAAATTAGAATCAAAGAGCTTTAACCGAATCCTATTAATAAAGAGCGAGGAATCTGAATAATTTCTCGAGTTTTTAAACAGTTTAATGAAAAAATGTTATACATCGTTTTTACCAATTAAAAGATATAATTTTATTTTCGCGTGCATTAAAAATATATAATTTTTATCAAAATGATATATATGTATATACATTATATATTTTTTATAATATTATGAGAGTCATTTGCGCTTTTTTGTCCTTTGAATGGTGTCTGTTAATAAATTTAATGACATAAAAATAATTGACAATATTCGTTGGACTTCCACACTCATATTCCATAATTAAATATCTGTGATTAAATCAACCAATAAACTACGCTTTATATGTATATCCACATATGGAGTTTTCCATTTATTACAAAAACATGGGTCTACACTTTTATGCCAAATTGCCATTGATATAATAGCGATATTTACGCGTATAAATTTGCTTCCTTAACGTTCATTCATTTTATTTCAAAAAAATCGTAAGATCGCAATTTCTGTATAATAGTTGTAGCGACTCTATCCATCGGCAAATGTAATCAACCGATTGTGAAAGAAACATGTCTTTTTCTAAGAAAACTTGGCGATACGAGTATTATCGTCTTGAGATCCCAACTAAATAATATCGCATTCGTTTCATGGAATTATTTGACATTTCGATGATCATAAAAGCGCGAAAACCATCGTAAACGCGAAAATGAAAACATTAGGAAAATAAAAAACGACGCGAGTGGCACTATCGTGTATAACCGATGGTTATTATCCTGGGAGGAATCTCTTCGCTTCATAAAATCTCTCAGAAAAGAAAATTATGCTCCTAAATATATATACAAAATTTCTTGATACACAACTTTGTCACAATATTTGTTTGGCGAAAAATTTAATAAAATGAAATAAATGGAAAGCAATCATTCGAATGCATTTTTTAAGATCTTGCAAGTTTTTCATAACATTTTTGATCGAGAGCACGTTCGAATAATTAACGATCTCGTACGATTCTTGACGAATTTTTCAAATTTAGAGCGCTAAGATGTGTTGCATAATTTTACGTTGACTCCTCCCAGGAATCGGTGACCGGAAGTTGTCGGGTTCGTAAGCTCATGTATAATCCACGCTTCGAGGCGTTCGTCCACTCGGACAAAATGCCTGGCGAAGTGAAATATTCTCGGATACGCGATCCTGAGTCTACTCAAAACAGATGTGCGCGCGACTACTGGAGATACGGAGTTTCGAGTCACCTGATGTGTGCATTTCCGAGATGCTCTCCCGGGATTTCACAAACGACGAAGAAAATCCATGGAACATTTGTTATTCCTAAGGTCGATACCGCCCCATCTGGGTTCAGCCCGACATCTATTTCTGTCTATTCCGATGCTAACATTTGAC